ACGTTAATATATCAAAATGAAAAATCAGAATGCATATAAAAACAGGAAAAATTACATCGAAAAGTGGCATATCTTTAGAGGGTGGAAGCATGGGTGTAAGGTTTGTGACGAATGCAATCATCATTCACACCTATATTGCAAAACATGCAAAAAAGTAGCGGATGGAATATATAGGCGATGTGAATGTGAAAATTCTTAAATATTGTAATTAAATAAATCTGAGATATCGATGTCACACCTCTTCAGGCATAAATAAAGTTATTTTCTGTTTTTTTTTTCATATAACATTTGTAATACGCTATCTGTGTAACGCTTATAGAAAAATTGATGAGGAACGAACCCCCTCCACAAGAAATTATTAAGCATCTCAGATAAAAAAAACATATATGTATTTTATTGTGTTTTATTTTTATAGAATAAAGGCGGCCCTGGTGGCTCGAATTTAAAATTTTTTTCTGACATAAGAAATTTTCATGACTTATTTGATTATCAGTAATCGTTATGCATTGCCAACTACCGTATTTTCAGGACCGCTGAACGGAGATCTTAACAACCGTATTATACTTCACTGTAGTTCCTTCCTTAATAATGCCAACTTCGAAGGCTTGTTGCATGATTATTTACACTAGTACTAATCATTTTATAGTAATAAACTGAGATTGATATTTACAAATTTTTATTTCAACGGTAGTTCAATCAAATCTTTAATAGGAAATTTGGAAGTTGTTAAAGGTAAATATTAGGTTCCTTTTATATAAGCTATATAAGCATTCCCTATAATATTAACAGGGCGACTTTTAAAACCAAAAGATTCAAGCATGTCTTCGCATGGTTATAATCCACCATCAAATGTACGTGAAGCCACATTACCTGAAGATTCAATAAACGAAACCACACTATTAGATGAATCAGAAAATAATACCATTGACCCCCTTTTTTCTGAGATCACCGCCTATTTTGTTGACCGTGGCTTTCAAGAAAGTCTTGTTAGATCCTTTCTAGAGGGGGAGGTTCATCTTGACATCAGGACGAATGCGGAACTTATGTTCGATTTTCTAGAAGAACGCCAGCGGTTGGATCCAACAATTTTCGTTGGCATCGAGGGAAGTGGTGTAAGTGGTATAGCATCAGGTGAAGATAAAAGATTACTTGTGAAGTGGGGTCTTACAGAGGAAGCCGCAAGCGAACTCCGTAACAGTGTGTGTGATGATATCATCTGGTCTAAGCAGATTTTGTATCATTGGTTATTTGAATGGATTCACAATCTGTGGGGTTCCTTCTCTCAGTTGAGTTTCGAAGATATTTTCTATGATACACAATTTCCACGCAACCAGTGGATCAATTATGATAGAAAGGATGGGCCACAAATGTTTGCCTCGTCATATGAAGATATCGCTACTGGAATAGATGACTTTTTAAGTAGCAATACGAAAATTGCTGATGCTAATGCGATGTGTAGTACCTACCGTGCTTTCTTTCACGCAACGAATCAACAAAGCGCCCAAGCTATTAGTAAGAATGGAATCATGCTTACATATTGCAAACGTGATCTCGATTTCGGGTCCTATCCTAGCTTTTACCTAAACCCATCTATTGATCATGCAATAGATTGGATTAAGAACCGTAGGGGATTTACCGGAATTGTTGTGTATTGGGTCAATATGGACAGAATAAAAAGCATGGAGTATCGGGATCTAGTTTCGGAAGGTGAAGATTTGTGGAAGAGAGTGGTGGTTGCGTCAAGATGTGGACAGAAATCAGCAGTGGACGATGACGATTTTGTCTACGGGTACCAGTTATCGAACCCAAGGGAAGTTCTCTCTAAATGGGCGAATTATGGCGGAGATGATGTTGAGGGTTCATGGCAGAATGCCGTTCCCCATGCTCGATGGTTTGAACCCATTCGCCATCTTCAGCTTGCTACTAAGACTCGTAGGGCGGTAGATCTTATGGACAGCTATTGTGTTGGCGTTATTTATTTCCATACAAAACCGTGAATCAATCGCTAGCATAAAATGGATAGTTGTAGCAAAAATGTCGTGTCATATATGAATTATCTTTTGCATTACTAATAAAATAATGTTTGAATTATCTTGCTTTTGCATGTGACCTCTTTTTGTAAAAGAAATGAGTGAAAATCTGGTCGTTCATCAGAAATATTAAAAAAGAAGTCAGTTCAACCATAGAATCCTATTTTTTATCGTATCAATAAAACTGGGCCTTGGTGGCTGATTTCGCATACATAATCATGTTTACTTTTGCATGTGTATTTCGTGAATTTGTTTTATCATTTATACAAGTGTATTTTTGAGATTAATCTGGATACATTGGGTATACGTTATCGAGAATTTTTCTTGACATTTTACACTTTCTGAACTTAGTTCAGGGATTTTTATCACGTGATTTATATCCCTACGATAAAGAATTGAATATGTCTGCACCTTATATAAAACGATGGCAGACACACAATATACAATTGTTTCACTAAGAGAATTAAATACCAAACTTACAGTTGAGATTAGCAAACTTAGAAAGAAGTATGCTGAGCTTGAAGCTAAGAATATCAAAGTCGAAGTTGAGAATGCAAAATTAAAACAAGACAAAGAAGAGGTTGAAGCCAGATTCTTGAATCTAGAGCAGAGAGATAGGGAAAAAACTGATCTTATTGCTAAACTGAAACATGATGTCTTACTAATCAAGGAGCAGAGCTTGCAAAACAGGGGCAATGGATATACTGATAATGCATCTGATGATGCAGAGTATCGAACATCTGATTCTGATATATACCAAGTAAAGGATAACCATTCTTCTATACCCCCTGAAACAAATCATAATCGTGAAGACACCCCCACATTTGATATAACTGACGATACTTCAAATTTCAACGTATGTCAAGAGACAAAGACTCAGCTGGAGGTTGGTTCACGTCAATGCTCCACATCACCAATTCGTATAGAAAACAAATCTTCAGAGAATAAAGTGATAAATGAATTTCTAGACCTAAAAGAAAAGGAAAGGGTTAGTAATATAATAAGAGAAAAAAATAGAGAAAAGAAGCTTGGATCTCAAGATCCTTTATCATATGATAAAGATATTTCACAATCTAGTAAAAATAAAGTACAGAAATTCATAGCAGAAGTTTCTAAAAACTCTAGTTCATCTATTAGTAATAGTAATGCAGACAATGATGTGATACCTACAACTCTAAATGAAACAGAAAAGTCAAAGACTCGATGCTTCACATCATCTCAAACCAGCAATAATAGCTTCACATTTTTATACGAAAAACTTTGTAATGCTATAATTCTCGCTGATCGTAAAATCCAAGAAGCAATCTTATATTATTGTAATTTTGGTAAAACTCTCATTCAAAGACATAATGAATTAGTATCAGAAAAACAAGTTGATCTGGAATCTAATGCAGTTAGTAGAATTTTAAATAAAGAAGTTCGTGCTCAGCTCCCTGCAAATATCTCTGACACACTTTTATAGAAGAGAATCGAAAAGGCTAAAAAGCCCTACAAACTTTTCAGTGCAATAGGTATGGATAAAATTTATCAAATACATTCCTTTTCTGCTGATAGTATCTCAAAAATGACAAACAAAGATATTCAATATATTATAGATAACATATCATTTGATTATAGTATTAAGATAGAAGAATCAAAGATTCGATGTTTCACATCACCCACCCTAAAATCCGAATTCTCTGAACTGAGTTCAGGAAGTGATCAGCAAATTTCTTACAAAAAAGAAAATAAAAATTCAGAATTTTCGGAAAAAAAGGTAACTACTACAATCACTTCCTCTATCCTATTGTTTTACACTTCTAATTCGAGAGATGAGTTAAGTAATGATTGAGATTCCGATTCATCAGAAGTCAAGATACAGGTGAGTGTACCCGATGATGAAGATTCCAACTATGATTACGATGAAAAAGATTTCTCCAATGACAACAACGAAGATGATGATAAGGATGATAGGAGCTTCTGTGGTTTTTCTGATGACGATAAAGGTTATTATTATGATTTCAATACCTGTAAAACTTATACAAAATCAGAACATCGTTATTCAATCCACGCATATTAATAATAATGTAATACTAATTCATCAAATAAAAATTCATTTTGTAGAAAAATAATTCACTTTAGTTATATATTACAGTTTTGATATGTATGTAAAAATAAAAAATAGCGAGGGCAAGGGACTCCCCCTCTTTATTTCATAATAATTGTTGCTAGAACGATAATATACAAATAATATATATATATTTATTATATAATAAAAAATACTCTTAACGGGTTAGGTTGGTGGGGTTTACATTTGATCTAATATTTCATCCTACTGACCAGGATTTAACCAATCATTATCATCATTGTCCCTATCATGCTCTAAGTTTTCTTTTGATATTTTTCCCCAGATCTTATTATAAGATAAAAATTCTCTTGGTTTGTATTGTCGTTTTGATTTAGAATAGTTGGGGGTCTTATTTTTCTTGTTCTTAGAGGTGGTGGTTTTTTTGTTACTGTTCATTTTTCGTACCTAAATACAAAAAATAAAGTAAGCAAAAATTCGTTTTTATAGTCTCCATTAAATAAAATAGCAAATTACTTTAAAAATAAATTACAGACAAGTGAACTAAGTAAAATATGTATGAGCAAAAAGTAACGTTATTGCTAACTTATCTTATGGGTAGAAACTTGCTTATTTTATACCGTTTATTCGTTAGATCTAAAAACCTACCAAAAAAAAAAGTTACATTACATTACCTTAACACAGACTAGATCCCACCATGTAAAGCAAGTCTATTCAGTCATAAGTCCCAAATGCTGACTCTATTTTGACATTTTTTTTTAGTTGAAATTTGACCCCTTAGATTTTGCAGATCGCTCAGAGTAGGCTAGATCTCGGAGATTGCAGAAATTTGAAGTCCCTGTAACATATGAATTTGGATAAAACTACTGATAAATAACATTGTACTCTTCCTTTTTATAGCTCTTTTAAGCCCTATTCGTCTCTTTTCTTATCATAAGATCGTGTATAATAAAGCTTCTAGTCGTTATTAGTTTAGTAGCTGTTAACAAAAATCTATCGTGAGAAATGATTTTGCAGGAGAGTAACACCGCATAAAATTTAATGCAGGTCATTGATTATTAAAGCTGGTCAAACTGATAATCGTTATTATAAAAATATAAAATAGGGATATGGAATTTATGTGCAGACCCATGAGACTGTTAAGTCATGTGATCGTATGACATAATAAATGCTGTTAACATTAAGAGTTTTACACATTTTTGATCATAACTTTTGATGTACTGAACCAATTTGGATGAAACAACCACTATTGGATTCAGCTCACCGAGACGATTCTAACGAGCATAAGATCATGTGATTCTGATCACGGGCTCATGAGATCGGGATGATTTTGATGAAAATACTAATTATAGTACATGTGACTTGATTCTGATTGGCTCAAATTACTATGTCGGAAATCTTACAGATATTACAGATCTTATAGATATTATAGATATTATAGATATTACAGATATTACATTTCTATTAGATCTATCATTTCTATTATTTCTATTATATATACTATATCTATTATATA